AGAAGGCTCTCCTGGCTACCACAGAGACCTGGACCTCCTGGTTCAATAGTCCCCAAACTAGATCTGTGTCTTCAACAACACAGGATGGATCCCTATTCCCTGATCTACCTTCTGATTGACCAGGATCCCTCTGTCTGGATTAAGTTTCACTTTGCCTTCATCCAATGCATTACTGATGACAGACATTGGTTTAGGACAGGGGTTCTCAAACTAAGGCCTGGGGGCCGGATGCGGCCCTCCAAGGTCATTTACCAAGCCCTCGTTCTGGGTCAACCTAAGTCTGAAATGACTTGAAAGCACACAACAACAACAACAATCCTATCTCATCAGCCAAAAGCAGGCCCACACTTCCCATTGAAATACTAACAAGTTTATATTTGTTAAAATTGTTTTTCATCTTAATTATAGTATTGCTTTTAAGTGTTTTTGCACTACAAATAAGATATGTGCAGCGTGCATAGGAATTCATTCATTTTCCCCCAAAAAATGAATAATCCGGCCCTCCAACTGTTGTGGTGACCCTCAACCATAAAATTATTTTTGTTACTACTTCATAACTGTAATGTTGCTACTGGCCCTCTGTTGAAAAAGTTTTGGACCCCTGGTTTAGGGTCAGGATAGCTTCTTGGCTTTGGGTGGGAAAGAGTAGTAAAGTTGGGTGTCATCGCACTCCAAAACTCTGGATGACCTCTCCCAGCGGTTTCATGTATATGTTCAACAGCATCATGGGGGACCTCACAGGATAATGGCCAAGGGTTCAAATAGGAGTCCCCCAGCACTACCTTCTGGGTTCACCCTCCGTGGGAATAGAGCCATTGTAAGACAGTGCCTCCCTGTCCCATCCCAGAAGGATGCCATGGTCAATTGTAATGAAAGCAGAGGAAAGGTCCAGGAGAACCATCTGGGACACCCTACTTTTGTCCAGCTATCTATGTAGGTCACATTATGGTTCTCTGTCCCATAACCAGGCCTGAAACCAGACTGGAATGGATCTAGATAACACTATGGAACAAAATTTGAAAAAAAAATCTCCTGGTTTGAAAGTGTTATTTCTTTTTAATTGTGTGGTATTTACTTTGAAAGTCATTATATTCTAGGAACTTTGTTTTTGTGGCTGCTACAAACTATGTTGAATTGGTTGAGACTCAATGATGAGATATTCATTGAAAAACTATAGCACAATGCATGCAGGATGTCCTGCAAAACTTTCACCATATTTTAATGATAGAAGCAATTAGGAAATTATGTTTATAACCCAGGAACAAAAAACGTGCTACATAGCCTAATTTGGGGCAGTGGCAGTGTTCGGAGTAACGCAAGACTATGAAGAGGAATGTTTTGGATGCATTTCAAGAAGTGACCAGAGTCTACAAATGCTTTTGCTATGAACTTTTTTCAGTCCAAGTATCCCTGCATGCCAGTAAGAGGGCTATTCCTTTGAGTAGTTAGAGGAGTGATGGCAAATGGGTTGCTTCCCTGCAAGAAAGAGAATGAATTCTTTGGAAAAGAAACTTTTCAAGATCCAAGTGAGTGAACCGCCACCTTTGGTCAAACCAAGACTGAAGAGGAAAGAAGATGCCACACATACTGGTTTGTTGGTATCTCAGTAACTTCTTTTATTATTATTTTGTCACTATTTATGGCAGCATAAATAATAAGCGAGTGAGAAAACAATGGGGTGGTGCAGGAGGGGGAGTCGACATGAGGCACGGAGCGCAAGGTGTAAACATGGACTAGGCTGAGATGTAGATGCGACTTGTGTCCGTCCTCCTTCCTTTGTGTAGACCTCTCGCTTGGAACAGTGGCGCCCCAGTGGGCATCCAGCAGGTGAAGTGTCCCTCTTCCCCGGTACGGTGATATGGAAGAAGCCAAAATCCCCTCCTTAGTACAATGGGAGAGTCGTCCTCTTAGTCTGCTCCTGTTTTGCACCACAGGGTTGAGAGGAACCTGGAAATGTATTTTGCTTTCTCATATAATGTCCTTGCCAAGATGGCTCAGTCGTCCTGCTTTGTGGAGACATGTTTTTGACAAAGTGACCCAGGCCATCATGCCTTTAGGGCCCATATTGCTCAACTCAAGAATCCGGACCTCCATGTCATTTCCAAGGTTTGCGGATAGGATGCCTGACTTTGAAATGTCCTTTAACTATTTTCCGAACTTCAGAGCCACAAGTGTTGCTGGGTTGCAACTCTCATCATCCCCAATCCACATGGCGGATCCTCCAAAGGGATGGAACCTGTTGTCCAATAACATCTGGGGACCCAAATTGGGTAAAAATTAAAGAGCACCGACCGCAATGGAGAAAAAATATAATTGACTCTCTGTATCCATGGATTCAGTGGTCCTTTTGGAAGTAGCCATAAGGCTGACATGGCCCACTGAAAATGAGCCTGGCAGCCCTGCTTTAGGGCAACATGCCACCTTATATCCCTAGAAGCCCAAATGCAATGTGGAGCCTTCCCATAGTTCTTTTTCCTGCATTAAATAGCTACTAGGACTGCACTGGCTTGCCTTTCAACAGCCCTGCAAGGTGGGCCAAGTGGCATTTTCATATTTCATCTGTGTAATCCTTCCTTTTGCACACTCATGCTCTTTTGAGACCATAACTGTTGGACCTGTTTATTGCGGAGTGGTTTTAGGGCGGCCACCTTCCTATCACTTCCCTCCCGCCATGGCTTCATGGTGAGGCTTTCACAAAATTACAACTTCTATTTCTGAGGAGGAGCCCCTGGTAGTGCAATGGGTTAAACCCTTGTGCCAGCAGGACTGCTGAGCAAAAAGTTGGCGGTTTGAATTTGGTGAGCAGGGTGAGCTCCCATCTGTCAGCTTTAGCTCCCCATGCGGGGACAGGAGAGAAGCCTCCCACAGGATGGTAAAACATCTGGGTGACCTCTGGGCAACGTCCTTGCAGACGGCCAATTCTCTCACATCAGAAGCGACTTGCAGTTTCTCACTCAAAAAAAATTCTGAGGAAAGGGTATTTGCCATAAAATGGGAGGCATTAGAACTTCTGTAGCCCTCCAGATGTTTTTGTGCTACAACTGACCCCTTAACAATTCGACAAAAACCCAATATTTGCTGGAAAAGTGGAAGACAGGCTCTAAAAGGAAGATCCACCAACCCCCAAAACTCCTGGATTTCCTTTCACCGTGTTTGGAAAATAAGACCCAAGAAACTAAAACGTCCCTTTTTTGAATGTGATAAAGGTCCAAATCCCTACCAGAGAAGAATCAATGGATATTCACCAACATTTGACTTGCCAGTCTGCAATTATTTCAATGGGTCCATTCTACTTGGCAAGCGATTTGGGATTTGCACCACAATTTCCCGGGATAATCTGTTTAAAATCTTACTGATGCGCTTCTGTTTTAGTGTTGGGTCAGTTAGATAGCCAGTTGAGGAGGCAACGGGCAGAGTCTGGGAAAGTTTCATTTTGGGCTTCAGTTTGGGATCCTGGAAGCCGCCATCCCCCCAAAAAATGCATCCCTTGGCTGTTTACTAGGTAAGACTGCTATTGGAAGTTGAATGCGGATTAAGGGAAGACGAGTGTCCGCACTGTAATCACGGACTTAGAATCATAGAGCTGGAAGAGACCCCCAAAAGGCATCCAGTCCAACCCCATTTCTGCATTACAATGTAATTTTAGGATGCAGATGAACTAGATTATATGACAGTGCAGACTCTCACAATCTAGTTCATGCCACATTATATGAGCCTACACTGACTATTATAATTGTGTTCAAACTGGGTTACATCGCAGTGGAGATGGGGCCTCAGCATCGTAGCTTTGTCAACAATTGGGACCAGTTTCCACCGAATAAAGAAACCCACTGCCTTTTCTCAGACTTCCCCCCCCCTCCCCCCCGGGAATTATATTCTTGGATACTGTTTATCATCTCCAAGGGGACAAGGTAAGATTTGGATTGTTGTGAGTTTTCCAGGCTGTATGGCCATGTTCCAGAAGCATTTTCTCCTGATGTTTGGCCTGCATCTATGGCAGGCATCCTCAGAGGTTGTGAGGTCTGTTGGAAACTAAGCAGTAGAAGCCAGACCTTGAAACTGGAAGGACATTAAATACTAATCAAGGTGGCCAATTGAAACATTCACACCTACCTCAAGCAGACAACAGTTCTTTGTCCCACCCTGGACATCATTCCACAGATAAATAAACCCCACTTGTCTAGTTTCTAAGAGACCTCAAAATCTCTGAGGATGCCTACCATAGATGTAGGTGAAACATCAGGAGAGAATGCTTCTGGAACATGGCCAGACAGCCCAGAAAACTCACAACAACCCAGTGAGAGTTAAGGTAAGATTTAATTCTCTCCGTACAGGTTTAGTATCCCTTATCCAAAATGCTTGGGTCCCATTCCCTGCAAGATTACAGTTGTCAAGTCCAAACACGAAACTCATTTATGCTTCATATATGCACCTTATACCTGTAGCTTGAAGACAATTTTGTATCAGATTGGTGATAATTGCATGCATAGGACCGAACCATCAGAAAGCAAAGGTCCCAGTCATGTGGACACTTAATTTGGAGTATTCTGGATAAGAGATGTTTTGCCTGTATTTCTAGATCTCTATTTTCCCTAAAGATCTTGAAAACCTCTTACCCTTTCCCCCTTGATTCCCATATTTATATTGATCTTCAACACTTCTGGATATTTATAAAACAAAAATTTTGCAATATCTGGAGGAGCGAGGGACCTATTGGTGCCTTCTGGGTCAATTGGGTCATGCATCCGCTCCGGCTTCCAGTCTGAACTGTAAAGAAGTTGCTCACTGCACTTTAAAAAATTGGTTTGCAAGGGTTACAATTCAGTCTGAAACCTGGATGAAATGAATGGGGTTCAGATGTTGATGGTAGTGAGAAGCCAGATCTGGAGCATAGATTGAATATGGCGTCTGCTGCCTTATAACTGGCACCGCATTCACTTCTTGGCTATGAGCACACAATGCCCCAAATACAAAGCATTTCAGAGGGATTTAGTGGAAATGGATCTGAATGGAAAGATGTGCAATGTCTAGGGACGGGTGGGTTAAGGAACGCTGAGAAAGCATGGCCTTTTGGGATCCTATAAAGAGATGCTGGGATCGTCGTCTTTGCTCCAAGCGAGAAAAGGCATATTTAGCTCATCCCTGTACCTTCCAGTTATTTTGTGGTTTCTAACCTGAATTCCAGTTCTGTACCCCAGTGTGTATTGTCAGTCACACTTTGCATAGGAACAAATATATATCTATATAGGAATAAATTCGGCTTGCTTTCTGTCAGGGCAGCAGGCTTTCCGTTCTCATCCCCTGAAAGCTCAAAGGATGAAATGAATAGGTTAATGCTCTAACTTTAAGGAACGGGTTCATTCTCCTCCTGACTCTGGAGGATCTCGTGTTCTTTTCATGCAGTCGTTCGCATTGCATACAACGTCTTTGAGTCTGAAGTAATGGCCAACGAAGGAACCGACTTCCAGCTAGTAGGCCTCGGCTTTTGGGGGGACTTCAGGCTCATACCTCAACGGGGTTTTTTAAGGTGGACACAGTGGAATCATAGGGCAGGGGATCATAAACAAGGGGTGTTTTCCTCTCCGTTAGAAAATGTCCCTCAGAGTTCATTGTTCTTGGGGCTGTTGCGGAGGTTCTTCAGCTCCAGCTGCAGCTGCCGGATGCGGACGTCCTTCTGCGAAAGGTCGCTCTTCAGCCGCCGGATTTCGTCCTGCTGCCGGAAGAACATTCGCAGGAGCTGCAAGCAAGATGGAAAGGCAACAGCGGTGGGAAACCTCATTTTTTCGTGCTCATAATACAAGTAGGGACTGTTTCAAAGGGTATGCTCTTTTGGAACACGTTTCTGCTGCATTACAAGGGTTGATTTGCCCCTGCAGAACATTCTCAGTGAGCTTTCCCCAAAGGAGGTGTTTTGAACACAATGCATCGCTTGCCATACAAAGACACTGGCTTTTGGCACATAACCCAAGTTTTCTGTACCAATGATATTTCCCCCACCCCAGTGCTACAGATTATCTATCTATCTCATGATGATTGGATATTTTCCATAGTGAAATGGTCCAAATACACCCTTTCTCATTAAGAAGAACAAGAAATGGCTTGAGTTATTACAAGGTAAAGGTTTCCCCTGACTTTAGTTTGGTCCCCGGTGACACAGTGGGTTAAACCCTTGTGCCGGCAGAACTGAAGGCCGACAGGTCACAGGTTCGAATCCGGGGATAGCGCAGATGAGCTCCTCCTGTCAGCTCCAGCTCCCCATGCGGGGACATTAGAGAAGCCTCCCACAAGGATGGTAAAAAAATCAAAACATCCAGGTGTCCCCTGTGCAATGTCCTTGCAGACAGCCAATTCTCTCACACCAGAAGCAACTTGCAATTTCTCAAGTCGCTCCTGACATAAAAAAAAGTTGGGTTGGAATCTGGGGGGTGGTGCTCATCTCCATTTCTAAGCCAAAGAGATGGTGTCCGTAGACACCTCCAAGGTCATGTGGCTGCATGGAGAGCCATTGCCTTCCCACAGAAGCAGTACCTATTGATCTACTCACATTTGCATGTTTTCGAACTGCTAGGCTGGCAGAAGCTGGGCTTAACAGTGGGAGCTCACCCCATTCCCCAGATTCAAACCGCCAACCTTTAGGTCAGCAAGTTCCACAGCTTAGCGGTTTAACCTGCTGCACCACCAGGGGCCCTTGGGTTATTACTCTCCTTGATTTACAGTGTACAATGCTCCACAGTTACATTTTTGATTTTATATGGCTGGCCAAAAAGCATAGTACAGCTGTATCACCACCAGTTCTCCAATTTGTCTTTCTCTTGTAATTCAGACTGGATAAATACAAAGTGTATTCAAAATGTGAAGGAGAGAGATAGGAATAAAACTATTACTCTATATATCTATAAATGTGTCTATCAGCAAAATAGACCACAACAGTGAAGGCCATAACAGAATAATTTATTACCTGCCTCTCTTTATGATTTGGGTTATTATTAATAATACTAATAACAATTTATTACCCGCCTCTCTTTATAAGCTGGATAATTAATTAATTAATTATTAATTATTAATTACCTATCTCTACTTGCAGTTTGGGTTCTTATATTATTATCATCATTACCTGTCTATCCTTATGGTTTGGGTAATAATAATAATAATAATAATAATAATAATAATAATAATAATAATAAGGCCGCCTTACTGGGATCTGCACACATCACAGTCCTAGACACTTGGGAAGCGTTTGATGTGTTATCCAATACAACAACCAGCCAAGTGTGTGCTGTGGACTCATCTTCTTGTGTTTCAAATAATAAAAATAATAATAAATGTAATACCTGCCTCTCCTCACAGTATGGGTAACACTACTACTACTATTACTACTACTACTACTAATAATAATAATAATAATAATAATAATAATGTATTACTTGGCAATCCTTACAATTCCTTATGATATTCTTCACAAACTTCACAAATAAAATGTGAATGATGTTCTTAGCAGATCTGTAGGAAACCTGGTACATTGCAGCCAATGTCATACAGATATTTGCCTGATCGGCTGTCTCTGCACCCAAGTCTTGAAAACAAACCTGAAGACCCCTTTTTAAAATGAGAACGGCTGATATCCGTTTGTATAGGCAAGAGCAAAACCGTTTGGGGAGATGTGTATGGGAAAGACAGATTACTTATTTCTACCGTTTGTTCCTCGTAAGTGCACAAAACCTTAGGAATGAGAGTGTGACAAATGGGGCCCTTGTAGGGTTTAACATGAAGGGGATGGCTGCTTGCTCCTTACCTCATTCTCTGTCCTGGGGGGCACGTTTTCCAAGAGATCGATCCCATTCACGACAACACTCTTTTTCTCTCTTATGGGTGCCTTAAAAACTACTTTGGAAACTTTCTTATAGCCTTCCTTTAAGGACATTAAAATGGGATCTATGGAAGAAAGAGACAATTATTGCCAAACGACACGTGACATTATGTGATTGGTTGTTTAGGACTATTCCTAGAGTCGACCCATTATGTTGGGATGTACCTATGTGTTGACTTACTAATGATTCAACAGGTCGACTCCAGTTCGGAACATGGAAGATAAGAGGGCAGCGATGCAGCCAAGTCCAGCTCAGGTTGTCCATTAATATGTGAAATGCCTCTAGGATGTTTGTAAATAAATATAATCATAATAATAACCTCTATTCGTTCCACTGAGCCATTCATCCGGAGTGAGGGCAGGTTCAGTTCCTGGAGTCATGGGGTAAATGTCTTCCTGATACGTTTCTGACTGGAAGGAAGGAAGAAGACAAACAACTTATTTCAAATACCCGTTACTTTCCCCATTTCTCCAGCAATGACCGAGGAAGGATGTTGAATACTATGGAAGGCAAGGCATCCAGATTGCAGATCAATATCAACAAGGAGATAGGAATCACCTCATTTACCTAAAACCTGCATGTCACCAGTTAAGTAGATGGTGGGGATGCTGTGGATGTAATTTATCTGGATTTCAGCAAAAACTCTCCATGATATTTTGATTACATGGTAAAATGGATACATAACTGCCAATTACATCCTATCCCAGCTTCCTCCTGTTATGGGACCCACTATTCATTTGTGTAATGCTACCAGGATGGAGTCGTGGCATCTGCAGAGAGAAGGAATACAAGTTTGCAGGTCCAACCGTTTAGCAGAAAAGGGCAGCAATTGGGAACCAGCATAAATAGCTGGGATTTGGAACAGTCAGTTGCTGGCAGCAATGTATTTGTTGGAGCTGTGGCCTTGAGAGATTCCTTGGATCTAGCCAGTGATGAGACTGATTTTAGGATTTAACCTTTGGATTTTGGATTATACTTTAGACTGTGTTTGTTAAGATATATCGACTTTGGGGCTTTGGAACGCACTCATGATTTTCTCTACTGCTAATCCCTTGTTTTGCTGATTGACTTGTAATTTGACCCTAGACTGACTCTGGACTATTCTTGTGTTGTCTGCAGATTGCTACAGAGACAATCTTGGGGAAAACCTGACAGAGACAGGAGTAACAAAACAAGCACCCTGTTGTCCTTGAGAGTTACTTAGAAGGTTGCATTTCTGTGCTCTGAAGACAGGCATTGGGCCTCACTCACTCACCCTCCTGGGCACAATCATGGAAATGGGTTCAATGAGGCCCTTGAGCGTGATGACCTTGTAGAAGCGGAACACTTCGCACATGGACACGTCTAGGCCATGCTTGGGCATCACTCCTGCAAAGAAGTGGAAGGATGGGACTGTCAGCCCCTCTTATACCATAAAACCACAACAAAAGCATGCCCATTCATCAGTCCCCCATCATTCATGCTGTTCTCCTCCTTACAGCTCTACCACCACCACCATCATCATTGAGAAAAGTGAATGGGATGTTCCCAAGGCCACCCCATGGGTTTCTGTGGCCAAGCTAGATTTGAACCCTGGCATCCCTGAGTCCTGGTCCACTGAAATCACACTGACTCTATTTCTGTACTTATATCTATATAATAATAACAGGATAATATTCCTTACAAGCTGGAATGTGTCCAGAGGAGGGCGACTAAAATGATCAAGGGTCTGGAGAACAAGCCCTATGAGGAGTGGCTTAAGGAGTTGGGCATGTTTAGTCTGAAGAAGAGAAGACTGAGAGGAGATATGATAGCCATGTATAAATATGTGAGAGGAAGCCACAGGGAGGAGGGAGCAAGCTTGTTTTCTGCTTCCTTGGAGACTAGGACGCGGAACAATGGTTTCAAACTACAAGAAAGGAGATTCCATCTGAACATGAGGAAGAACTTCCTGACTGTGAGAGCCGTTCAGCAGTGGAACTCTCTGCCCCGGAGTGTGGTGGAGGCTCCTTCTTCGGAAGCTTTTAAACAGGGGCTGGATGGCCATTTGTCAGGGGTGCTTTGAATACAATATTCCTGCTTCTTGGCAGGGGGTTGGACTGGATGGCCCATGAGGTCTCTTCCAACTCTTTGATTCTATGATTCTATGATTTGCTACTTGTCTCTCCTCAAGGCTTGAGGTACAGTTCAACACAGTTTAAATGCATAGGTAAAACAAGGTCACTAAAAGGTAGGCATTAAAAGACATGGGCATAAGATTAAGCATTAACATTAAAATCATCTAGACCTATAGAATACGAGTTAGAATTTGTGGTTAAAATTGAAGGGATAGGTCTTTAATTGTGTGTTGAAATATATTTCTAGGTCCTTCTTTCACCCAGATATTCTCCTCCTGAGGACTGAAGAAGGTTCATGCCTTCAGATTTGACCGCCCAGTTAGGAGAGAGGGAGTTAATGAAAGGGAAGCAGAAAGCTAGCACGGGTTAAACTATGATGCTGGAGGCCAGGGTTCACTTTCCTGTTTGGCCATGGAAACTCCACTGGGTGGTCTTGGGCAAGCCACACTCTCTCAGCCCAAGAAAACCCAATATGTCCTTATAGGTGGGAAATGGCTCGAAGGGCCTTAGCAAGGGGAGAAATGCCTCTCCATGCAGCTGCACCCCAAGACTGGCACAAACAGTGGGCAGACTTACCGAGGCCTTTCTGTGGGGCTGCGGAGCGGAACTCCATGAGGTACGTGAAATATGGCTTCTCTGTGTTGATTTCGTAGTAACGGATGTTCCCGTCTCCCTGGGAAGCAGAGCGGAAAGAAGGTCAAAGGATTGAAATGCCATAAAAAGGCCATCGCTGGTCACTTTACCCGAGACTCCTGACTACAACAACCCTTCGAGGTGCTTTTGCCCTGACTTCCAAAGCACTCACCTTTCCTGCCAGGTACAGCATGTGAGTGTCGGCATCATAGAAAGGGAATAGCAGGCCGGACAATCCGTCAATCTCCTCTTCGATTAAGGACATGGAGAGGTCTTCCTGCAGAAATGGCACGGAAATGGATAGAAAGATAGAAACATGGAAGGAAAGAATAACCATCATTATATATTTCCCTGCCAATATAAGGTTCTTTGGCATTTTCAGGAGCAAGACATTTGTGCATTTAATACTTTACATTGATTGCACGTCATATCAGTGGCCTTTGTGAATTGAAAGGCAGCCTGAACAATGTGAGAAACAGAAGGAAGGCTCATGCATATGACTTCCATGTGCTGTATTATTATTATTATTATTATTATTATTATTATTATTATTATTATTATCTTTGAGAAGGATTGCTTTGTACTATATCTTTAGCCTTTCCAAGGTGCAGTATCTGAAGTGGCCACTTGGGGGATACAGAGAGCCCTCGGTTCCATGCAAATAATGGGCAAAGACAGAAAAAAGCCATGTTCGGACCTGATCCCAAAGAGCGATCTGCCGCGTGTTCCACCGTGAGACCCCCGTGGTGAGCAGCCTCTTCATATTCCCTAGGAAGACCACCCGGTTCACACGATGATTCTTACAGTTTGCCTCCTGGAAAGACAAGACAGAGTCACTTTTTTACTGCTTCCTCCCTTTCTGTGCCAATGCAGACAATGTATTAAAGGCCACATTTCTTCAGATCTGCCGTTCAAGACTTCCCAGGACTTCAAAGCATTTCACCCAAGACGTCTGATGAATAAATGATTAAAATTGTGAATAGATGCGCCACTCCCTGATGCGTTGACTACAGTACACTGCACATTCCTTCTATTCTCCCCGCTGACATTTCGGTTTCTCTGAAGGTGACACATTTAGATGTGTTTCGGCAGGTCTTGCCAAGCTACAAAGACGGTCTTGGGGTGGCTTGAACTATTTCCTTAAAAATGCTCCTTCTGGATGACACAGACTTCCATGTTTTCTTGAGTTCCATCTTCCAGCATTCCTCAATACAGGCAATACTGACAAGGAGATGCTAGAAGCCCAATTCAAAAACCTCTGGAGTGCCGCCTCATGGAACCTGGAAAAGAGGAATGTAATCCCAAGGCCGCTCTAAAAGTGAAGGGGAAATAATTTACCTTGAATTATGTAGGTAACTAGTTGCTTTCTGTAGCAATAAGCTGGAGTGAATGTGAAAATATTGTCTGTCATTCATTGATTTGTGTGTGGATGTGGATGAGTGTGCTGACTGATGTAAATGATCTGAAGAGGAAGATGGAGGAGAAGGACAGATTGCATGAGCTTGGATTCTTTAACAATACATTTTGTATTTGGATTGCTGTGTGAGTTTTCCGGGCTGTATGGCTATGTTGGAGAAGTATTCTGGAACATGACCATACAGCCCTGAAAACTCACAGCAACCCAGTGATTTCGGCCATGAAAGCCTTTGATCACATTTTGTATTTTTTCAAGGTTTCCAAGGTGCAATATCTGAACTATCCACTTGGGGGAACCAGGGAGAATGGCACAATGGAAATGGTAACCTTCCTAGCAGACCCTATGGGCCAACCCCTGCAATACATGAAGTGTCCCATTTCCTAATTTTTAAGAAGTAGCTTTCTCAATCCTAAAAGAGAAATGCCTGACCTGGAGGACCTTCCCGGAGCGTGGCTCAATGACCCGGAGCTTCTTGTCTTTGCAAGTGGTGGCAACCAAGCTGCCGTCCGTGTTGAAGGACATGCAGAGGATGACGTCTGAGTGGCAGTCGATCATCTTGACGGGTTCCCCAACATCCAGGTTCCAGATGAGGATCTGTGAATCAGAAGAGAAAGGATATGGATCATCACCGTTTGCACCGGATGGCTGTTGTTTCCACATCAGGTGAAATGCTCACATGGAGAAGGTCAGGGATAACTGGGAGAAACCTAAAGTCCAGGTGAAGTAAGGGATAGGATCTGGGCCAAACTGAGGCACCTTCATTTCTTGTTGGGTCTATTGCTCTTAATGTTTGGTTGGAAGGGCTTTAATGGCTGCACAGAAGAGGGAGAAAGAAACCTAACCCTAACCCTTTCCTATGCTATCCAAAACTATATGGCTGGAGTTCCACTTTAAAAATGTACCTCTTCCGACTTATAAATAAATTCAATTTAAGAACAAACCTACAAAACCGATGTTTGTAACTTGAGGACAGCCTGTATATAAAGAGTACGTGGTATTACAATTCTCTCTTCTGTGTATGAAGAATGACATCTGTTGAGTCCCCTCCTTTTACACAAAAGTGTCATCTCCAGCAACCCTACAAGAGACTCAGATGAATGTCCTCTCTAGGCATTTCCTAGCTCCTCTGGTATAGGTTGACTGCAAGTTGTTTATTCACTATAATCCACAATTGTCTCCATAGATATGGAGGTCATGCTGTGTTTTCTGCCATTCCAAGTGTTCATTTTCTTCCAAGAAGAAGAATTAAAGTAAACTACAACTGTCTAGGCTGCAAAGCATTCCCCCCTTTCCTCCCACGTCATTGAGGTTCTCAAAGGGGAAAATGGAGAATCTATTAAACCAGTTTAAGTCTGCTGTGTGGAAAGAACGCAGGAGAAAAAGGAGGCCTCTGCCCCACTGACCTTGTAGTCGTATCCAGCGCTGAAGAGGATGTTGCTGGCCGTCGGATGCCATTCGACGAGCCCGACGCGCCGGCTGTGTCCATAGAGCTCTAGTACACTGTCCGTCATGTGGCGCTTCAGGCCCCCCTCCGGGATCTCCCATATCCGGACCTTGAAGGAGCAGAGAACAAATAGTGAGGCAAATGGCATCTTTATTTGTATTTAAAACAGAGGCTGGATGGCCATTTGTCGGGGATGCTTTGATTGTGCTTTTCCTGCCTGGCAGAAGGGGGTTGGACTAGATGACCCTTGAGGTCTCTTCTAACTCTAGGATTTTATAGCTGCTGAGTGTGCATTCAAACCTAGCTTTACTTGATGTAAAGTCAATGATGTCTGACTTTAAATATCTTTTCTCCAACCTCAGTGCGGTTGGGTTGCAAATATCCCCAGTCTGTAGGGCAGATCAGCCAAAGTGATGGGCTGGGCTTAGCACAGCGGGTTAAACTGCTAAGGTTCAGAAAATCCTATCGATCGAAAGGTTGGCAGTTCAAGCCTGGATTGGGATGAACACCAACAATCAGCCCCAGCTTCTGCTCACCTAGCAGATCGAAAACAGAAATGTGAGTAGATAAATAGGTATCGCTTTAAAGCGGGGAGGTAATAAAAGGTGACCATAAGGACATGCTGGCGATTTGATTGGGAGGATGTGTACGGATGACAAAAAGCTCCTCGGCATTCAAGATGGAGCAACAGCACCCCCCGTGGCCGGAGTAGAGCATAGCCTCCAGATGCCAGAAATGGGAAAAGATGGGAAAGCCTTTACCTCTATTTATGTATTGTCTGTCCTTGTTAATTGTATAACGACATTGAATGTTTGGCGTATACGTGTTCTGTAATCCACCCTGAGTCCCCTCGGGGAGACAGAGCGGAATATAAATAAAGTATATTGCTATTATTATTATTATTATTATTATTATTATTATTATTATTATTATTTGAAACACATCAAGATGAGTCCACAGCAGACAACATCACTCTGCTGGCTGTTGTATTGGATCACATGTCGGATACTTCCCAAGTGCCTAGGACCTTGTGGTGTATCGGCGAATAATGTGTGCAGATCCCAGTAAGGTGGCCTTCTGCAGCTGGCAGATGATAATTTTGTCAGCCCCAGTTGTGTTTAAGTGCAGGCCAAGGTCTTTAGGCACTGCACCCAGTGTGCTGATCACTACTGGGACCACCTTGACTGGCTTGTGCCAAAGTCTTTGCAGTTCGATCTTTAAATCCTCATATCATGTAAGCTTTTCCAGTTGTTTCTCTTCAATCCTGTTGTCACCTGGGATTGCAACACCAACAACCCATACTTTGTTTTTTAACTTGATTGTGAGGTCAGGAATATTGTGCTCCAAAACTCTGTCTGACTTAATTTAGAAGTCCCAGAGTAGCTTGACATGTTCATTCTCTGTAACTTTTTCTGCCTTATGATCCCACCAGTTATTTGTGGCACAAGTTCAAATGAATCATCTGAGCAATGGTGTTGTGCCTCCGCTTGTATTCCATCTGCACGATCTTCTTGCAGCAGCTGAGGATGTGATCTATTGTTTCATCTGCTTCCTTGCAGAGTCTAAATTTGGGATCTTGTTGTTCTTGTTGTTATTAGTAAAAACCTATAGAGCACCGAGCTTTATGTAAACAACTGCACTATGTCACAAAAATTGAAAAATGTTCTGTTCCTGGTTTTAAAGTGTTGTTTCCTGTTTAATTGCATGGTCCTTTCTTTGAAAGTAGTTGTTCTACTCCAGAGACTTTGTTTTTGCGGTTGCCACAAACTAGGTTGAATGGGTTGAGACTCAATGATGAGACATTCATGGGAAAACTAGAGTAAAATGTGCTATAGCAGGATGTCCCTCCTGCATAAACAAAGTTTTTGCAATTTAATAAACATTTTCCATGTTTTTATAAAAGAACCAATTAGGAAATGACATTGAGAACACAGAAACAGAAATTGTGTTACGTAGTGTAATGCTGCCTCCCATCCCCACCTTTTCTCTGCTGCATTTAAAGAGGCAGGTGACCTTGTGAAGGTTGCAGGGAAACTCGAGAGAGCGGCAGGTGGAGGGAAAAGAGAGGCAGAGGAAGAGAGGAAGAGAAGAGGAAGGGTAGGACAAAGAGAAGACACCCATTTTCCAAAAAGCCAAACCTAAGGTTTCCTGGGAAGGCAGCCCAGGAGGAGTTTGCATGGAAGGAAGGGAGGCACCCTTTGTTCCAAATGGGGAATGAGCTATCCTTCCCTTGTTTATCCGCATTGAATACCAAGAGATACTGGAATCCCAATGGTTTCTGCTTGGCATCATTCAGGCGACAAATCTGCTCAAACATGTTCTTAAAAGTAATTTTGCATACTTCCCACTTCCACTGCTATTGCTCTATCCTACCAAAGACTGGGATTTGTAGTTCTGCGAGGCATTTTGAATTCTCAGCTTGAAGCTAGAACTACATATCCCAGTCTCCCGTAGAATCCAGCCTTGGAGTAAATGGAGTGTGAAAGGGACATTGAACAGTGGATTGCTGTGAGCTTTCCAGGCTGTCTAGCCATGTTCCAGAAGCATTCTCTCCTGACATTTCACCTACATCTCTGGCAGGAATGGTTCCACCCACATCTATGGCAGGCATCCTCAGAAGTTGTGAGGTCTGTTGGAAACTAGGCAAGTGGGGCTTACATATCTGTGGAATTATGTCCAGGGTGGGAGAACATTCCATAAGAAAGGGATTCCGGGATTGTGGCACAGCTGGCTGGGAGTCAGCTGCATTAAGATTAAGATCACTACTGACCGAAAGGGCATGAGTTCGAAGCCAGCCCGGATCGGAGTGAGCTCCCAACCAAAACTGTGTAGCTTGTTGTCAACCTTTGCAGCCCGAAAGACAGTTGCCTCTGTCAAGTAGGAAAATTAGGTACCCCTTTGTGGGGAGGCTAATTTAACTGATTTATGAGGCCATAAAAATCTCCAGGAAATATGCAAATGATGAGGAAGCAACAGCTCCCCTGGTGGCCAGAAGCTGGAATTTTAATAGCCTCTGAATGTCTGTCTATATATGTTGCGTGTCTATGGCATTGAATGTTTGCCACGTATATGTAATGTTTGCCACCCCTGTGGGGTGAGAAGGGCGAAATGTAAATACTGTAAATGAATAAATAATAAGAAATAAGAAAAGCTATGGCAATTTTGTTCAAAACATAATGATGAAGCAACCCAAACCCGGCTTCTGAGCATTCCCTCCGCTCTTGTTTTTAACACTATTTCAAAAGCTTTTCCATTCCAAAATGTGGGTGCTGGCCACTTACTGAGGTGTCCTCTGAGCAGGAGGCAATGATATTTTCAATGAAAGGGTTCCATTTGATGTCGAGCACGTTGCCCTGATGGCCACACACTTTGGGGTAGTTGGGCTCAATCCGGCCGGTCTGCAGAAGGCAAAAGAACATCAGAATCAGCCAGTTCCTTGAAAAACACAACCCAACATACAGGCCAGGTATGCATTCAATATACAAATGCACTGATTAGTCAAAAGTTATGTTTTAATAACTATCCACCTGTTAAGATGACAGAACAAGAAATTTCACAGAGAAAAATGAAGACAAAAAAGATAGAACCATTTCCATTAGGCCTGACATTTGTTACTGTCACTGTCATTGGCATGTTTAAGTTATTTTAATTTAATTTATTTTTTTTAAAAATTTATTGATAACTTTCCAAATAGTTCCCACCTGTAAGAGTTGTTCAGCCATGGAATATAATTCCTTGGAGTCTGGTGAAGTCTCCTTCTCTGGGGGTCTTTATTTAGAGTCTGTTGGGAGGGACTGGATGGTGCCTTCCTGCCTGGCAGAAGGGGGTTGGACTGGATGGCCTTTGGGGTCCATTCCAACTGCTCAGTACTGTAATGGAGTGTCGTTCTCTGCAGTTTTTAAAGCAGAATGGAGCGCCCTGGTGGCGTAATGGGTTAAACCTTTGAGCCGGCAGGACTGCTGACCGAAAGGTCGGAGGTTCAAATCTGGGGAGCAGGGTGAGCTCCCATCTGTCAGCTCCAGCTTCTCATGCGGGGACATGAGAGAAGCCTCCAACAGAATGTGCTGGCTTTGGCCTATAAAGCCCATAATGGGAGGCCCTGCTCTCGGTCCTGCCGTCATCACAAGCATGTTTGGCGGGGACGAGAGACAGGGCCTTCTCAGTGGTGGCCCCTTGGCTATGGAACGCCCTCCCTAGGGAAATCAGATCTGCTCCCTCCCTCTTGACGTTTCGGAGGCAAGTTAAAATGTGGCTATTCGAGCAAGCGTTTACAAATACAGAGTAGCTAATATAGGAAATCGAATGACCTGACAATAGAATTGGTCAATGCTTGAGAATCATGAGAAGCTGATGATGTTGTTTGTATTGCTTTTGTGATGTTTTATATTGTTTAATGTTTTTATCTATATTATGTTTTATGTATACTGATTTGTTGGAAATTGCCTTGAGTCGCCAATTGGCTGAGAAAGGCAGTATACAAATACAGTAAATAAATAATAAACAATAATAAACAGTAATAAACCCTGGGCAGCATTCTTGCAGACAGTCAATTCTCTCACAATTCTCTCACACCAGAAGTGACTTGTACTTTCTCATGACACACACAAAAAGCAGAATGCTGGATGGCCATCTGTGAGGAGGGCTTTGATTGTGCCTTCCTGCCTGGCAGCAAGACGGGGGTTGGGCTAGATGGCCCCTGGGGTCTCTCCCCACACTATGATTCTGTGACTTATGAGGGGATTTGCTCCCTCCTAATGGAAAACCCAGTCTCTGCCCTTCAAACGGTCATTCTGTGGAAACCTTTTGTTACATTGCATGAGAAGGCTATTCTGCAAGAAGCAGATGTGCAATAATCCCTCTCCCCCTCCACTTCCTCATAATCTCTTGACCTATTTCCTCCCATTTATTTCCCCCGGTTGGTTAATGATGCTTCAGGACTCCTGTTGCTGGGGAGCAAAGGGGACGCTCTGTGAAATTTATACATGCATTTGTGGAGATTCATCTAGTTGGCCTTTGGAAAAAAGAGGACTGATCTCTAAGTCTACACCCAGGAAGCACCATCTGTGGCCCTACATCAGGTCTGTTTAGAGGAAATAACCTCATTCATTGTACTACTCCATCCTTGTGTTGCATGGCAATGTTGTGAAATGAACCAAGATACCAAATGCACATCTATGCACAATGAACAGGGTCATCTGAAAGTGCAACAGCACCCAATGTACAACGTTACTCTTTGCAAAATCGTACTGAATATTCTGAATTACATGCACAAATAATATCCAGTTGCTTCTGTTGGGAATGCATGCAAGATGACAACAAGATTTTGACCATAGTTTTAGGCCTGCACAGAATCATAGAATCATAGAGTTGGAAGAGACCTCATGGGTCATCCAGTCCAACCCCATTCTGCCAAGAAGCAGGAAAATTGCATTCAAAGTACCCCCGGCCATCCAGCCTCTGTTTAAAAGCTTCCAAAGAAGGAGCCTCCATCACACTCCGGGGCAGAGAGTTCCACTGCTGAACGGCTCTCAGAGTCAGGAAGTTCTTCCTAATGTTCAGATGGAATCCCCTTTCTTGTAGTTTGAAGCCATTGTTCCGTGTCCTAGTCTCCAGGCCAGCAGAAAACATGCTTGCTCCCTCCTTCCTATGACTTCCTCTCACATATTCATACATGGCTCTCATCATGTCTCCTCTCAACCTTCTCTTCTTCAGGCTAAACATGCCCAGCTCTTTAAGCCGCTCCTCATCGGGCTTGTTTTCCAGACCCTTGATCATTTTAGTCGCCCTTCTCTGGACACATTCCAGCTTGTCAATATCTCTCTTCAATGTGCCCAGAATTGGACACAATATTCCAGGTGTGGTCTAACCAAGGCGGAATAGAGGGGGAGCAGGATTTTCCTGGATCTAGACACTAGACTCCTATTGATGCAGGCAAAAATCCCATTGGCTTTTTTTGCCGCCGCATCACATTGTTGGCTCATGTTTAATTTGTTGTCCATGAGGACTCCAAGATCTTTTTCACACATACTGCTCTCGAGCCATGTGTCCCCATAAAATCATAGAGTTGGAAGGGACCCCAAGGGTCATCTAGGCCAACCCCCTTCTGCCTTTATGCAGGAAAAACACAAAGCACCCCCAACAGATGGCCATCCAGCCTCTGTTTCAATGCCTCTAAGGAAAATGCTTCCACATTTGCAGGTTGCCACATTAGCAACCAAACACAATGCGAAAGGCAGTGTAAAGATTAGACATCTCTGTGTTGTTTGAAAAGGAATGACGTTCAATTCAGAACCTAATAGAGGCACAAAGAAGACATCAATCACTTAATCATCCATCAATCAGTTCTGGCATCCTGTTGGTAACACACACAGACCTCAATGCCTTTCTGCATGTAGATCAAACTCTTGCTGTATATTCTTGTCTCAAGCATAAATTTATTTATTATTTATTTCATACGCTTTTACCCGCCCTTCTCCTCCCAAGGGGTGGCCTCACATTAACATCGTATGATGTTATCATCATATAAATAGTCAACAAATACATTAAAACATTAAAAACAATTCATCAGAACAATAGATTAGTCATGCCAGTTAAAACCAAATCCAAGTCTGGAGTTAATTAAGTGTTGCAGTATCCAAGTCTTCTTTCCAATTGCCGCTGTCCACTAATCGAGTGCCTGGTCCCAAAGCCAAGTCTTCAATTTTCTTCTAAAGGACAGGAGGGAGGTAGCCAACTTGATGTCCCCGGGGAGAGAGTTCCACAGAGGGAGGGCCACTGCCAAGAAGGCCCTGTCTCTCATTCCCACCAACCACGTTTGCGATGGTGGTGGGATCGAGAGCAGAGCCTCTCCTGAAGACCTTAAACTTCGTGATGGTTCGTAACAGGAGATACATTCGGACAGGTAGTCTGGTAAAGAGATATTGTACTGTCAAGCCTGGAGTTGTTTGCACATTGCTGCACACCTCTGGATTTATGCACAATATGCATTTAAGTCGTGCAATTTCGCAGTTCATGAAGGAGGCAGCCTGGCACAAGAGCATTAACTCATGCTCCGTCACTTGAGTGACAGATCATGGGCAAGGAAGGCATTGGATCCACCGGATTCATGTTCCCCTGACATAAAGTATCACACCAAGAACCACAAGACCAGTATCCACAGCTTGATGTTATCATGTAATCTAGGAGCCCCCACTGGTGCAATGGGTTAAACCCTTGTGCCAGCAGGATTGAAGACCGACAGGTCGCAGATTCAAATCCAGGGAGAGCATGGATGAGCTCTCCCTGTCAGCTCCAGCTTCCCATGTAGGGACATGAGAGAAGCCTCCCACAGGGATGGCAAAACATCAGAACATCTGGGTATCCCCTGATCAATGTCTGACATAATATGTCCTCTCTAGGCATTTTTTGATGTCCTCTTGGGCTGGAAGCCCTTCATTTCAGTTGGGTTCGCTATTATCCACAGTTTGGCCAATCCACGTAAAGTCTGGGAATGTATTCTGGATGGACATAGGGACCTATCATATAGCAAACCTGGTGACATTTTTCCACTTCCAAGGGGAATGGAACCAAATGGTGGCCAGAAGAGGGTGCCATGCTTCCTCTTTCCACTTTCCAGGTTTCTTTTTTGCTCCGAGAACAACAGCCCTAATCCCTGCTGCAATTAGGAAAGCGCCCATTAATCCTCATCCTTGCATTATAGCTGCACTCTGTTCTCTTTTTAGATTTTTTTTAAATGGCAAAACAGCCTGCAGTTCAAAGTCTGCATAGTTTGGACTTTTTCCAAGAGCACTGTTTTGTAAACATTCATAGCAAAGGTAAGCCGTACTTGCAAAAAGAGAGAGAGAGGAAACAAACAACAGATTAAAGCCGTAGCTTTCATGAACTTGACAGAAACGTTGCAAAGGGCACGTCTGCACTGCAGAATTAATGCAACTTGACACCGCTTTAGCTGCCTGTTTGTGATTGCTTCACAGCCAGCATCGTTCTCACACAGCAGTGAGATGCAAGGTGCACCCGGACCCTGCAAAGTAAAGCTTTGGGAAGCAAACAAGATGTAATTGACTCTGTGGTTGTTATCCTTGTCCCATTACACTTTGTAACAAAATTTGAAAAATGTTCTGTTCCTGGTTTGAAAGTGTTATTTCCTGTTTAATTGTGTGGTCCTTACTTTGAAAGTGGTTGTTCTGCTCCAGAAACTTCATTTTCTTGCCCGCCACAAACTAGGCTGAATTAGTTGAGACTCAATGATGAGATAGATATTCATTGAAAAACTAGAGCAAAACGTGCAATAGCAGGATGTTCTGCCAAAACAAAGTTTGGGCAGTGTCATACACATTCCTCATGTTTTATGATAAACCAATTAGGAAATGACATTTATAAGCCAGGAACAAAAAACGTG